GATTCAAGAACAAAACTCTTTTATTAAATCAGTGTTTTTCAAATATAGGACAATTATTGCTAAATCTGAAAGCGCTTCCCTAGCTTTTGAATTTCTATGATATCCTATTTGGGTTGCCCTTCGTAAAATCGGGTGGGCATACCCCCCCCCCCCCCCCCCCCCATATTCGACAGTTACGTACGGCAACCCACATAGGACATTTGACGGCTGCCTGAGTTGCACTGCGCAAGAATGTGTTGATCTGCCATAAACTTATAAATTATAAGAAATACGATAACAGAGAAATTGCAAAGCTGGGAAAAACCTTTTAGACTCAGTATTTGTCATATAAGAAAAATGCAGATTTAATAGCAGAGTTTCGTTCTTGGATCGACTTTTTGTCCCCCAGGAAATCTCAACAGAGAACGTTTTGGCCGTACTAAAACATTTCTGATTTTACATAAAATTAAAGACATTTAGAGTTAAGAATTAGATATAAATTATGAATGCCATAAATTATTGAATTTACTCAACCCACTAAAAGGTAGACCCTCCAGAAAAACGCGATTCTGCGATCGCAGAATTTACCGCATGTGAAGATAAAACTTTTTTGCAGCAATGTTGAGCCAATCATGAAATGAGTGAAACTGGATTTGCCTGTCAATACACTGATATTTATTGAGAGCCTGAGCGGCCGGAGAGTTCACAGCATATTACAGTTCCCTGCAAGATACCAGCCAACTCTGCCCAAAAGCGCCAAGAACCCATCTATACAGACAAGAAGAGGAGGGCCCTAAAACACGCGGGTTTTCCTTTAATGCATGCCAGATGTCGAGACAAAGACTCGTTGCATTGTAAACCCACATGAGCCAAGCTTCTCCCCCACAAGACATCAGATGACCTCTTGACCTGTGTCTTCCTGAGAAGCTATGGATCACATTACAGGCAGGAATACACTTCAACCATATTAAACAGATTCCCGAGGACAAATCACTAAACTCTATATACTTTAATAAGACTAAAATATTCCTTTACACCGCATAATCAGCAAAATGGCGCAGATTTTTAAAAGGCCGCATATTTATCAAAAGGCCGCATAATCCCCGCATTTTTCCACACAAAGTTGAGGGAAAAAAAAGTGAACTCGTCTTGACGTGAAGTGATGATGATGATGATGATGACGACGGGACGTCATCAACTCGCGCATCACAGAAGGTAAACAATACCGTAGAGTGAACGTGTGGAGCTCACACGAGAGAGAAAACACCAAGATGAAAAAATCGAATCCATCTCATTTACCGACGAACATTTCTGCTAAAGACCGGGCAAAGCAGTACCCCGATGTCTTGCACGAAAGTGGGGGGAAACTATTCTGCACCCCGTGCAACTGTGTTGGAGCATAAGAGAACATCGACGGTGACGATCCACTTTGATTCATTCAAACATTCGAAAATGCTTTCTGCTGCGGACAAGAAAGCCAAACAACTCACGTTCACCGAGGCATCAACCTCCAAAACCCTTTCGAGGGCTACAAGAAACGAGGTGAGAAGCCTACAAGATTGAAGCTGGTCAGATAACGAACATGAAATGAAATGAAAACAGAATGAGGCGGAGAAGTGTGTGTGTGTGCGTGAGGGAGAGAGAGAGAGAGAGAGAGAGAGAGAGAGAGAGAGAGAGAGAGTGTGATTAAAATAGCCCAATTGCTTTTACAATAAATAAACATTGAGTGTGTTTAATTGTATAGTAAAGGGGTTTAACGTTAGTGGCAGGTTGTGTGTGAGAGAGAATAAATAAATAAGACATCCCAATATTTATTTGTTCCGCATATTTAGCATATTTCCGCATATTTCCGCATATTTCACAACTTCCCGCAATTTCACCACATAAAATCACATAAAACCCCGCATGTTTGATCGCATAATCAAGGATTTTAGCCCGCGTTTTTCTGGAGGGTCTAAAAAGGAGTTATTCTCAAATAATCTGGAAATTACGTTGCAATAAAAATAATTAGGTTGTCGGGATTTTTGAGTTTTTTTCTCTTCTTTGCGAAACGCTTCTGTGTCAAATATACTTGGGTTGCCGTACATAGCTCTCCAAAATGGCAGATGTCGGGAAGTCACAGCGTTGTTGTTTACGTCCGCGGCGCCATCTTGTATACGGGCGTCTTGAATTCATATATCTTATAAACAAGATCAGCGCCACAGTATTCATACTATATTTCCATTCCTTTATTTAACACATAGAGAATTGTTGCACTGTTTATTGTTCATGATTATTTATAGCTTATTATTATAAGTGTGTACGGAGGAATGTGTGTCAGAAAACGATGGATTCAGCAAGTGCCTCGATCTGTATTTATCGTTAATATTCCTCACGTTATTTATCAGAACAAGGCCTCCTATTCTCAGATTATAAGTTTCTAAACTTTCACCCTCACACAGAAATCCTCTCTTGATCTAATTGTTATTGATTAGCTGGAATCAGAAATATTAGCCAGTTTATATTATTGTTTTTGTTTGACTTTGTATTAAAACGTGACCCTTTAAAATATTGTAAAGTACTGTAAGAGAATAGCAAAGCTTTCCAGATGCACATTAAATACGTCTTAACTTCAATCTTTGTGTGGTTTATTACTAACACAATATAATGTGTGAAAAATATAAATAATTTATCAATTTGTCTTTTTTTATTTTCATTGGAAGAACATTCAGAAAAGTTGTGTGTGTGTGTGTGTGTGTGTGTGTGTGTGTATGTGTATGTGTGTGTGTGCGCACATCTTTTTAAGAAGCTTACTTTGTTTTTAATTCATGTATTTAATAATAATGAATGTATTCACAGAAGCAGTTTGAACAGTTAAACGTATTATCACATGTCAAATTTAACATTCTGCATTTAAATCCTCCTCTTTTATCTCAGTAAGGGAAACATTTTTTAATTAAAAAGACAGACAGGAGGTAAACATCAATGGGAACAGCAAAAGAAGACGGACAGGAAGTAAACAGGCACAGTATGGGCTCTGCAGTGTTTTAATAACATATCTCCCCCCCTGATGTCCATTGAGTTGTATTCAAAACATTTGATGTTCAGATTTGTTTTTGTATAAAATAAATGAAAAATAAATAAAATGAAAGGCTTTAGGGTCTGCGCTGCTGGCTGACGGCGGTCACCTGACCAATCAGGTACCGGTAACGATTTAGAACCTGACACCCATCTCTAGCTACAGGTAACCACATGCAGAACTAGCAGGGGCTGTCACACTCCAGGTGTTGCTTGTTGAGCTCTTCGTAAAGAAGGGGGTCCAGCTGTCGGAGAGCATTGATCAGAACTGTGCTGGCTTTATCTCCTTTATTTCGCACCGTGTCCACCACCTCTCGTGCTCCGTCATTTCGGGATTTGGTTCTGGCTGACTCCATTTCAGATCCACTGATCACTTTAAAAGCAGAGAGAGTATCCAGAAGGTCCTTCAGGACAGGTGAAGAAACTCTTTGAATGAACTCTGTCCGAACTGAGCGCAGCCACTCGTCAGCTGGGACTCTGCTCTCTGCTGAGACTCTGCTCTCTGCTGAGACTCTGCTCTCTGCTGAGACTCTGCTCTCTGCTGAGACTCTGCTCTCTGCTGAGACTCTGCTCACTGCTGGGACTCTGCTCTCTGCTGAGACTCTGCTCTCTGCTGGGCCTCTGCTCACTGCTGGGACTCTGCTCTCTGCTGGGACTCTGCTCTCTGCTGAGACTCTGCTCACTGCTGGGACTCTGCTCTCTGCCGGGACTCTGCTCTCTGCTGAGACTCTGCTCACTGCTGGGACTCTGCTCTCTGCCGGGACTCTGCTCTCTGCCGAGACTCTGCTCTCTGCTGAGACTCTGCTCTCTGCTGAGACTCTGCTCACTGCTGGGACTCTGCTCTCTGCTGAGTCTCTGCTCTCTGCTGGGCCTCTGCTCACTGCTGGGACTCTGCTCTCTGCTGGGACTCTGCTCTCTGCTGGGACTCTGCTCTCTGCTGAGACTCTGCTCTCTGCTGGGCCTCTGCTCACTGCTGGGACTCTGCTCTCTGCTGGGACTCTGCTCTCTGCCGGGACTCTGCTCTCTGCCGAGACTCTGCTCTCTGCCGAGACTCTGCTCACTGCTGGGACTCTGCTCTCTGCTGGGACTCTGCTCTCTGCCGGGACTCTGCTCTCTGCCGAGACTCTGCTCTCTGCTGAGACTCTGCTCACTGCTGGGACTCTGCTCTCTGCTGAGTCTCTGCTCTCTGCCGGGACTCTGCTCTCTGCTGGGCCTCTGCTCACTGCTGGGACTCTGCTCTCTGCCGGGACTCTGCTCTCTGCCGGGACTCTGCTCTCTGCCGGGACTCTGCTCTCTGCCGAGACTCTGCTCTCTGCCGGGACTCTGCTCTCTGCCGAGACTCTGCTCTCTGCCGGGACTCTGCTCTCTGCCGAGACTCTGCTCTCTGCCGAGACTCTGCTCTCTGCCGAGACTCTGCTCTCTGCCGAGACTCTGCTCTCTGCCGGGACTCTGCTCTCTGCCGAGACTCTGCTCTCTGCCGGGACTCTGCTCTCTGCCGAGACTCTGCTCACTGCCGGGACTCTGCTCTCTGCTGGGACTCTGCTCTCTGCTGGGACTCTGCTCTCTGCTGGGACTCTGTTCTCTGCTGGGACTCTGCTCTCTGCTGGGACTCTGCTCTCTGCTGAGACTCTGCTCACTGCTGGGACTCTGCTCTCTGCTGGGACTCTGCTCTCTGCTGGGACTCTGCTCTCTGCTGGGACTCTGCTCTCTGCTGGGACTCTGTTCTCTGCTGGGACTCTGCTCTCTGCTGAGACTCTGCTCTCTGCTGGGACTCTGCTCTCTGCTGAGACTCTGCTCACTGCTGGGACTCTGCTCTCTGCTGGGACTCTGCTCTCTGCTGGGACTCTGCTCTCTGCTGGGACTCTGTTCTCTGCTGGGACTCTGCTCTCTGCTGAGACTCTGCTCTCTGCTGGGACTCTGCTCACTGCTGGGACTCTGCTCTCTGCTGGGACTCTGCTCTCTGCTGGGACTCTGTTCTCTGCTGGGACTCTGCTCTCTGCTGGGACTCTGCTCTCTGCTGGGACTCTGTTCTCTGCTGGGACTCTGCTCTCTGCTGGGACTCTGCTCTCTGCTGGGACATTTCTCTGGGACAATGCATGTCTTGGACCTGGTAGAACTGAGCGCAGCCACTTGTCTGCTGAGACTCTGCTCTCTGCTGGGACTCTGCTCTCTGCTGGGACTCTGTAGACACATAGGGGACAAGTTACTACAACAATCCTTCACCGGCCTGTGTTCTGACTGACAGTTGTTCATCCAGCTGGAGTCTGACCAGAGGCCTATACTACGAAGCAGGATTTTCACTTAGCGAGGTAACTCCAGGGTTAACTCTGGGTTTCCGGTCCTACGATGCTGGTTCACTTCTTACCGGGGTAGATCTCCATGGTAAGAGATCAACTCAGTGAAAGCACCGTCTGCTGACCAATCAGAGCTCAGTGTGCGGAGTTTAAAGCGATCAAGTCATATTACAGGAGAAAGGAACGTGAACATTAATAGAATATCACCTCCCATCTTCAGAGCAATCTGACTATTATAACATTAGCGCTAAGAAAGCTTACTTAAACATCTGCCACATACTGGATCATACATTACCATATATGGGAAAGTAGTCCTTATATTTTTAAATATATTACAATATATGCATGGACCATGTATGGTTATATATTGATACATATAAAAAATATATATTGCAATGAAAATAAAAACTGCACTATACATTTTTATATATAATAGTTTTTTTGAAACAGTCATTTATCTTTCATTAGTTACACAAGTTTACATAACATTTAACAGATATTCATAAACAGTTATCTCACTTCGTTTTGTATAGTTACCCACTTTATATATGAACATATGTTTGATGGTATTAAAAAAGTACAAATTGTCCATTGAATGATGGAAAATAATATACAGTTTATATTATCTGCTCTCTGATAACACAGAGAGTTGCAAGCAGCTATTGTCTGAGATCGCATGATGTAGTATTGTTAGATGTGCCAAGAGCAAGGACTGTCTTAGGTAAGACAGCTTTTATGTGCGCAGCTCCACTTGCTTGGAACAATCTTCAGCAAGAATTGAAACTGAGCGATCTCATTCCTCTGCATGTCTTTAAAACTAGGCTAAATGAAATGCTCGTTGATACTATGGGCACTTGTAAATGTCTATAACTATGTAAATGTAACCTGTAAATATAATGTATGATGTCCTTTATTGTTTTATGTTTCATGTGGAACCTATATGCTGCAGGTCTCCCTTGAAAAAGAGATCTATGATCTCAATGGGACCAATCTGGATAAATAAAGGTTTGAAATGAAATGAAAATATACAGACACACACATATATGCACGCATATATGCACGCATATATAAATATGCATATATATAAATATGCATATATATATTCACATATATAAATATGCATATATATATTCACATATATGTATATATATATGCATATATGCACGCATATATATATAAATATGCATATATATATACATATATATATATATATATATATAATATATATATATATATGCATATATGCATGCATATATATATATAATATATATATATATATATGCGTGCATATATGCATATATATATGCTCTTATTGTTTTATAGCCTAACTATAATGATCATATGAAGTGTGCCTCGGAAATACTTGTCGGGCAGCTTGCGTCTCCCATTAAGTTGATCCCCCTGGGCTGTAAATCCCCGCACCTCAAGCACGTTGTGTCTTTTAGGAATAACAACATAATGATATTGATTTGAGTTAATGCTTCGTCAGGTCTGTCTGCAACACAACGAGCAAAACACTTTAAAATTGTTGTTTTCTGAATGGAGATCTCTTTGATTAAAGCTAGGCTAACATTGTAGTGGATCCATCAACACTCAACATAACTCCATCCAGTCATTAGAACAGCAGCTATTATATTGTTAGCACCACAGACAGTCTCTGGTTTATACAGGTACATGAATAACCCTGATTTAATATGAGGTGCTGTAGAGCTCTGGCTGCTGATGTTCCCTCTTCTGATTTATCTCAGCATGTCAGTGACGACAGGAGCAGAATCTCAACACTGTTTTTGTATCAGAGCGTCACAAACTTTACTCTCAAGTTGTAACTTTTCAAGTTGTGTGAATACACGGGGGATATGAATGTTGCTTCTTTATTTAACTCGTGTTGCCAGGTAAACATGTGTGTCTTTGTATTGACTCTACATGAAATCATCTGCTAATGCTAAACACAACCAGCTCACCAGGTTATTACTATTATTAATAAACCTCTTCAAATGCGTCTGAAAAAGAAACTGAGGTAGTCAACTCATTTGAAGGAAGATTGATATTGTTTCAAGTATTATTGTCATTTTAAGAACATGTCAAAACACTGATACATTGATAATATAATAGCATATTGAAATATCCTAAAATATTGTGAACTGTCCTCTTCGTCCTTGTTGACTGAACTTTAATGTTTTTATTGGTGGCTTGTTATTACATATTCATTTGTGAAGTTGTACATGTTTGTATTTGATTTGCTTAACCAGAGGTCCTACATGTGGAGAGAGAGAGTTATTTTACTGGAGTAGTTTACTTAGTTCTCTACTGCCTTTCTTTTTGTACTTTACTGCAAATCTTTACTCTAATCTACACTGTAAAAAAAGTCTGAAATTAACAGGGAAAAGCTGTAAAATCACAACATCAAAAAACTGTAAATAGAGAAACAATGAAGCAGTGTTTAATTTACAGTAATATTTCGTAAAGTACTGAACCAAACAAAACTGTTAAATTCACATTAAGAATATGTTAAAAATAATTATATTTCATTGTATAATTTACAGATTTCTGTGGTTTGAACACAGAACAACTGTAATACATAAAACAATACAATACAGTTAAAATTACAACATGACAGTGTTAAAATCATGTTTTTTTATATTTTTTCATTCTTGAATAAACTATAATATACTTACTTCTTATTTCTATTTGTTTAATACATATGTTTATTTTGAAATTGGAAATAACCCAGTACTGAGATATTCTTGGAAATTAAATGAGAATCCATAAAACAGCTGGCGTTTGGATTCTGGGGCCGCCCGGCTATTTGGAGTGGAATGCAGCCCACGGCAGACAGAACAGTAATCGAACGCGCCACTACGTGTGGACGGTGTGGACCATAGTGTGGACGGGCCGTAACAATGGGCCGTAACCATGGGCCGTAACCATGGGCCGTAACAATGGGCCGTAACCATGGGCCGTAACCATGGGCCGTAATGGCCCGTCCACACAACGGTAAGTCTACTTTTTGAGTCTTGTCTTTTTTTTTTTTATTGGGACAGCCTCTCGGCGGAAGTGAGGCAAGCGGTCAACGAACGCAGCCTCCGAAGGAAACGGCAGCTGAACTGAGACACGCCTACTGAGCAGTAGAGTTTGTTTCTGTTATTTCATTGGACTATTTAATTATCGCGGGAGCAGCCACTTTTTAAAGGTTAACGGTTACTGCTTAGTGCGCGGCCAAGTCTGTCTCAAGTCTGCCTGCCACGGACCACGGAGCTGTGTGCACATGAGTGGAGGATCACATCTGTAGCACTGGTAAGCTAACCGTTTATTTTCTTCAAACTTCAATTATAACACGGTGTGTTGTCAGGACAATACTAGCTTCCGTTTGTGATTGATTGCATTTTGCATTCATAGTTATAACGTCTACTGACCGGGAGTTAATTTAAATAGTCTGGTAACGTTATTGAAGTATCATGCTAAAAGCTGAACTCTTTATTTTCGTTTAATTCATGCTGTTGTGAAGCGGGGGTTTGAAGCTACATCTGAGCGGGTTCAAACTTAACGGGCAGTCGTGTTAGCGTGCTAAAAATTATTACCTGCCGTTTTTGCAGCAAAACGCTACAGACTTTGAAGGGTTATGTGCTGCATTGTAGAGTGCATAGGAACGAACCCCAGTGTGTATTGTTGTACTGATGGTGAGCAATTTAACAGACCTTAAAATGTAATAACATGTTTGCTAAAATTGTTTTGTGAAATGTTTCAGGAAGTCTTGTTTTAATTTAGTTTGAATTGTGTTTTTCTTCTTTTTTAGGACGATCATGCTATTCTTCAAGGCGATTCATGCTGAGTGTGGATCGAAACATAGTACAGGACAACATCCCCTCCTTGGTTTCTGTCCATGATGTTTGGGAGCTACTATTGCTTCAACATCGCCTACCCGTCAGAGCTGGCATCCACCCTGGAGTTTGTCCAGAGGTATGTGTTTTTTGGGATTGGCTTTATCCAACAATTTATTTTATTAAACTGCAACAAATCTAAAGCAGCTGCTTCAGTGAATTGGGGGTTAAGATAATTGTCATTTTGTCTTCAAAATATTAAGATTGATGTGAAGTTTTTTGTTGTTAGGCAAACTATTTTATTATTAATTCTGTTGTTTGTTTGTATTTTTATTTGAAGGTGTCTTTTCTCCATCAACCCAGAGAAGGGCACCAAAGAGGAGAAGACACGCGCATCCCGTCTTCAGGTGAACCCGAGAGTCCTCACCTTGATACAGGAACTTTCGGACCATGAGTGGCGTGATGTCTGAATATGGACAGCAAGATCAATGGCATGTGGCGATGTGCCCAAGTTACAGTTTGTTTGATTGTTTAAATCGTAGTTAAAATTTGAAGTGCCTTTTTTTTATGTTCTTTTAACTAATTAAAACAAATTCAATATGTAACTCTCAAAATGTCAACCTATTCTTTTAAGGTCATTGTAGCCACTCTTGGGGTTTGCTGTTACAAAGTGAAGTTGCTTAAACAATCTTCGGTTGGCTTATGTGGATGTAAAAGCTCAGGACATTACTGTTGAGTGTAAAAATGTTGACGTGTTACACTCACACTATTTGGGGCGTTACGTTACAAAATACTACGCAGACAGCGTTAGCTGGGAGATCGATCACTTTGCTAAACCACGCGGTAGCCTACTATTAAATCCACGTAAACTACACATCACAGCAATGAGGCCAGATCAATGAAACCAGGATACATCCTTTACTGTAAAAACTGGATCCAAACACAGCTGCCTGTGTGCGCTTGATCAATACTTTCTGATGTTATATGATATGCTACATATTAGCTAGGCTACATGGCCCTAACGCGTAAAGTTATACAAGCATTTGTACCAGTGCTTTTCACAAGTAGACTCTTGCAGGCCAGAGTATAGGAGTGATTCAACAACAACACAAAGACATATGAGAAGTGATCAGGACGAACAGAAAGAGGAAAAGGAAAAGAGAGTTCACTGAAGAGACCAGGAGAGTCAGAGCAGGAGGAAGAGGAGGATATGAAGAGACCAGGAGGGTCAGAGCAGGAGGAAGAGGAGGAGATGAAGAGACCAGGAGGGTCAGAGCAGGAGGAGGAGATGAAGACATTAGTGAAGAAGAAGAAATGTATGTGAGGAATAAAGATGAAGTGTCAGAAAGAGGGACAGAGGCAGGGATCAGGAGGCAGATGAAACTCCAGCTGGACCACATGGTATGTTCTTATTCTCCAACATGTTCCATTACAGCAGCTCTTAGTATTGACAAATATTGATTGAAATGTGTTGCTGCACAGGTCACCTGTAGCTCTCTGAAGAGATGGGTGATGTCATTTGTGTACTTAATTATAAGTTGAAATGTTGAGCTTGTCAATCTTAATCTGAAAATACAAAAACTGAAATATAGGTAAGAGAAGAAACGGACACTTTTGTGATGTGATTCCCTCAATGCAGATCACACATGGACTGATCCATTATTTTAATAGGAGGGTAAATGATTGGCGTGACGGGTTTGAAACTAACTGAGGAACAATATTGCAATTTCATAGATAATTCAAGTATTTTTTCAGAATTGATTTTTGATCAGTTAAAGTTGACAAGCATGTGATTATATTAGCAGCAACATTTTGGGATAATTGGCCATTTTGATTGGTTTGATATTAAATTAATATGTAATAATGCTTAGTGAGGACATGCAAATATGTCTGTCTAATACTAAGAAAATCAATTTTTTTAAAACAAAATATATATTTAGTTTGACATTGTAATGCAAAAAAACCTGTTCCATTAATTCATTGCTTTAAAATACATTTTGTAGTTTCCTTTCATTTAAAATTATTGAAGTAAGCTTGGGGGACTCAAAGGGCACCCGATTGTTTGTCTGAACACCTTGTTTCTCTTGTGCATTAAGAACACTTGTGTTATGGCATGAATTAACAATAACTAGGTTATATACAGTATAAAATACCACGTACTGTTGTTTTGTTTTCCACTTGGGTTTTTGTTTCTGAAGTGAAGGGTCTCTGCTGACCCTACCTCTTCACCTATCTCACTTATGCCCCTTTCACACCAACGCGTTTTCAGCTCCGGCTCGGAGCTGGAGCTGAAAAGTACCGTTTTTTCCTGGACAATGTTGAGCTGTTTGTTTATTGTGCAGCCTTAGTTTGTATGTTTTACCAATATGTATGTTGAGAAATGACAGATGTTTTTTGATCACTGCTATTTTATATATAATACATTCTTGGAAAGGCAAGTTCTTGTTGGAATTTGTTCAACTTTTAATACAGTGGCTCTTGAGGTTTATCTAGCTTTGCATTTTTAATTTTAAGTGGTTAATCTGTGTACCCTGGATTACATTCTTCACATTTCTGGTAATAGTCAAACATATATACATATATATATATATATATATATATATATATATATATATATATATATATATATATATATATATATATATATATATATATACGAAGGCAGTGTAGTTGAAATGAAATCTTTCAATCTGACTAATGTATAGGAAAACGATTTTTTTTCCACTGATCAATAATCCTTACAGGCGGTTTTATACTTTATATTTGAGATTGATATTCATAGAACAGTTTTTTCTGCATTTTAATTGTAATAAATATGTTTTACAGAAAATTTAAATTGCAGTATTTAGATGTTGCTTTCACCGTAAAACACCGCATTACACTGATGCTTTTGCAGTTAAACAGTGTTATTTGTTTGGTATTCTTCTTCAATGATACAACAACTGCATGTAAATCTTACTGAAATAATCAGTTTAATAGCAATGTGAACATGATATTCAGCAGAAAAGGGCTGTTGAAATTACAGATTTAAAATGTAAAATATACATGTTGTTCTGTGAAGTTTTTTACAGTTTACCGTATTTTTTACATTATTCTAGCAACAAAGCTGCCAGGTTTTTACCATAAAAACGTTTTTTTACAGTGTACTGCATTTCTGTACTTCATTCTACAGAGTGTCTGTACTCTACTGCGCTCATGTAATTATGAAAGAACAGTTTAGATTATACGATTATATATAAAATCTGAATCCTCTTGAGGTCAGGTTACAGTAGAAACAGACTCTTACTTCCTGTCTGAGTTCATCTCTGAAGTCTGGAGGTTCCTCTTCAGACCGGTCACTCTTCAGAGACAGCTGGGGACTGGAGACTCTGCTCTCCTTCTGTGGAAACAACACATGTTTTGCACATCATCAGTTCATCCAAAGAGCAGCTTTTGACTTCTGTCTGTTCACCTGATTAAAGATTGTTGGACTTTGAACTGAACTGAATCTAATGAATTACATTGCGTTACTTAAAACTGAATCCTCTCCAGGTCCCAGTAGAAACTCTTACTTTGTGTCTGAGGGTCCAGGTTCCTTACTGAAGTCTTTAGACCGGCCAGAATCAGGAGAAGCTGCTCTCAGTCTGTGGAAACAACACATAGTTCACACATATGATTTAGTTCTTGTAAAGAGCAGAGGTAATATTAACATGACACTTGATTGGCTAATCCTTCAATCTTCTTGCTTAGTTAGGTTTGCCTCCTTGATTTGACTTCTGTCTGTTCAACGGATGAAGATTTTTGGACTTGTGCTAAACTTTCTGTTTGTTAGTCGTGCTTCTTGGTTTCTGTCGTTACAGTTCAGTGAAAAGTTTTACGTTTGAAGTTGATTTACTTGACTTAAGTATATAAATTGTTATAGTTAAATTAAACTGCATTACTGTAATCTACTGTGTTGCTTTATTATACTGCAGTGTTTCTGTACTGTGTTCATGTATCAACAAGTTATATTATCAGATTATTTAATAACTGAATCCTCTTCAGGTCAGTTCACAGTAGAAACATAATCTTACTTCCTGTCTGAGGCTGAAACCAGTAACACTGCACGCACGCACGCACGCGCACACACACCCACACACACACAAACACATGTTATGTAACTGATGAATCAGAAACCAAGAAATTGATAAAAAAGTTCACAACATTTGAAGATTTCACTTTCGACTGCAGGAAATATATATATTTTAATTTACAGATTATTTTCTGACATATAGTTAGTTAACTGAGTTTTAAACATCACTTTATAGACCCTCCAGAAAAACGCGATTCTGCGATCGCAGAATTGAACGCATAATCAGCAAAATGGCGCAGATTTTTAAAAGGCCGCATATTTATCAAAAGGCCGCATAATCCCCGCATTTTTCCACACAAAGTTGAGAAAAAAAAAAGTTAACTCGTCTTGACGTGAAGTGATGATGATGATGACGCGGCGTCATCAGCTCGCGCATCACAGAAGGTAAACAACACCGTAGAGTGAACGTGTGGAGCTCACACGAGAGAGAAAACACCAAGATGAAAAAATCTAATCCATCTCATTTACCGACGAACAATTCAGCTAAAGACCGGGCAAAGCAGTTCCCCGATGTCACGCACGAAAGTGGGGGGAAACTATTCTGCACCCCGTGCAACTGTGTGTTGGAGCTAGCCCCACCTAGTGTCAGCAGAAAGTATTAAAAAATAATGATTACAACAAAATGCAAAAAAATAAATTAAAATATATATAAAATATATTTTAAGATCATGTTTAATCATCTGATTCGTCTGTACATTGCTGTTTTAGTCTGTGTTCTTCTGATTAGTGTCTACAGTGTGTGCCTATTGAGCTGTTTAGAGCGATGTGGGACAAAACCCGATCCTGCCCCTCCCTCTCACTGTCTAAGTGAACGGTGACTGTAAATACTACACTGCGCATGCTAAGAGTATTTTCCTATTTAATGTGTGTGGCAAAAAAATAATGACCATAGGGGCATAGAGCTGCCATCCCCACCATACGTCATCTCACATCATTCAGAGCTGATTGGCTGTAAGTATGTGTGCCGCGAAAAGTGTGGTGTGTGAAGAGCAGGTGAAGAGGAGGAGAGAGACGTGTCCTAAAACCAGGAAGTAAGCTGCGCATGGGTTCCCTCCACAAAAAAGCAATGAGATTTCTCCATCGGATTTTAGAAAATATCTCAAAATAAGATCTGTGGGAAACGTAGCTGTTAGATAAATGCACATTTTGTTCAGCCAGATAATATCCACACGTCTACCCTACTTATCATTTTCGAATCATAAATCCATCATTTAGATTTATGATAGACTTTTGAAACTACAAGAAGATAAGGAGGACTTTTACAAAAAAGTAATAGAGATTTTTGTCCAGAAGGATGGCTTGGACTTCATCTTTAAGTCAAGGTAAGACCACCATTTTATTGAAAATGGGATCTTAGAACAATTCAATATTTAAATGATACAATAATTTTTTTTGGGTATCCTTCTGTTGAACTGTCTGTTTAAAATTAATTGAAGCATCAGACTAAAGAGGCCATGGTTCGCAGCAGGAAACCGATGGACTGTCCACTTCAAGTAGGGAATGAGTCCTTACCCCAAGTGAAGGAGTTCAAGTATCTCGGGGTCTTGTTCTCGAGTGAGGGAACAATGGAGCGTGAGATGGGCCGGAGAATCGGAGCAGCGGGAGCGGTACGGCAGTCGCTTTACCGCACCGTTGTGACGAAAAGGGAGCTGAGCCAGAAGGCAAAGCTCTCGGTCTTCCGGGCCATTTTCGTTCCTACCCTCACCTATGGGCATGAAGGATGGGTCATGCCCGAAAGAACGAGATCGCGGATACAAGCGGCCGAGATGGGTTTTCTCCGCAGGGTGGCTGGTGTCTCCCTTAGGGATAAGGTGAGAAGTTCGGTCATCAAAGAGGGACTCGGAGTTGAGCCGCTCCTCCTTCGCGTCGAAAGGAGCCAGTTGAGGTGGTTCGGGCACCTAGTTAGGATGCCACCTGGGTGCCTCCCTAGGGAGGTGTTCCAGGCACGTCCAGCTGGGAAGAGACCAAGGGGTAGACCTAGGACCAGGTGGAGGGATTATATCTCTTTGCTGGCCTGGGAGCGCCTTGGGATCCCCCAGTCAGAGCTGGTTGATGTCGCCAGGGAAAAGAAAGTTTGGGGCTCTCTGCTGGAACTGCTACCCCCGCGACCCGACCACGGATAAGCGGGAGAAGATGGATGGATGGACTAAAGAGGCTTTTGAAAATAATATTATATTTTGATTTAGGTCAAAATATAATATTTGTAAACCTGAAGAGTCAGTGCCTCACCAGCCATGAACCTCACTTTAGAAGCTTATATATAGACATCTAAGTTGTTTGTGCCCCACCACTTTTGTACATATAGAAACGCCACTGAGCCTACAAGATTGAAGCTGGTCAGATAACGAACGAGTAAATGAAAACAGAATGAGGCGGAGAAGTGTGTGTGTGTGTGTGTGTGTGTGTGTGTGTGTGTGTGTGTGTGTGTGTGTGTTTAATTGAATAGTAAAGGGGTTTAACGTTAGTGGCAGGTTGTGTGTGAGAGAGAATAAATAAATAAATAAGACAGCCCAATATTTATTTGTTCCGCATATTTCGCAACTTTCCGCATATTTCGCAATTTCACCGCATAAAATCACATAAAACCCCGCATGTTTGATCGCATAATCAAGGATTTTTGCCCGCGTTTTTCTGGAGGGTTTATACAGTATAACAGAGTACATGATTAATGTGTTAAAAAGCAGATCCTGGTGTTAACACTCACCCTGTTTTTCTCCTCCTGCTCTGTCGAAGTGTAAAATGGAGTCTGGCAGTCGGACCAGTCTGACCAGTCCGACCAGTCTGACTTCATACTTCCACTTCAACACCCTCCCCTGTCTGCAGCTCATTTCATAACCAGCCTCATCACCTGGACAGGTACAAACAGGGATTATTTGCAATTGCTCTCACAGTAAGACAGTTCCAAAACAATTTATAAGAAAGTTAGAAAGTAGACAAGCAGCTGAAAACAAGCTAGTACAAATTATAATAACACAAAGTGAACAAAAATCAATAAACATCCTGCATTCAAACCTTACTTGTGAGGTTGTTTTGGGTACTCTAGTGTTAACTGTGCAATATATTGTTCCATATTATATATATATTTGTTTGAGGAATAATATTACTGCTGCATGAATGCACAAATTGCATAGTGTAGATTATTTGAACTGCTTTATATACTCTTGGTTTGTTAAATGCATTGCTGCAGATTCTATGAGATCAATATATGTGTGTAGTTTTGTCCTGTGATAACCACGTATCTTTAAAAAGTCAGCTTTTCATGAGTTTTTCAGAAAAACAGCCCAGTTTTCAGCTCTGTGACGGTGCATTTTCAAGCTGATGCAAGAGGCTTTTTAATAGCCTGCCTCAACACATACATAAATACTGGATCCTAGTTCATCGTAAACATTTAAAATCATCTGGAGATACGTGGTTATCACTGGACAGGAGGGGGAAGAACATCTGTAATCTTAAAGGTTAGGTAATTTTGGAGAAATCAGCTCGAGTGCGCTAGAATTTGAAAATACACAGCCGGAAAAAATCTGCCACTTCCTCACAGAGCCCCTCCTCCAACACACACGAACGCGCACATGACCAATGAGGGCACGAGATACATTTGTGCACAGATGGAAGGCTGACAGGCAGGTACGCATGGGCGTCGCCTGGGGTAGGCACAGGCCCGGTTCTACGGGGGTGCATAAGGGTGCATTGCACCCTCAGTTGAGTCGTTATGCACCCTCATTTGACAAATGAAAAGTGAAAAAAAAAAGGGAAAAATATTACATGAAGAAGAAGAAGAAGATAGTTGAAATAAAAATAAATTGTAATTGTGGTTAAATAACATTGTCTGCTTCATTTATTTGGTCAATTTAAACGGTAAGTAACGTTATTATGTCAGGTACGCGTGACCTGTGCCGCTGCACGTTCGTCATCTGCAAGGTGCTTACACAGCAGTCAATGATGGACATCAGAAAATGGTTAAAACAACCAGCCCTTATCGCCAGCAGTAACACTGCATCTGCTGCAGGTAATAACAGTTCAGATGATGGGGACATTACGTTGCCCGTGGCCACTGTCGTGGACACTAACGCCCGACTCGCCAGCTTTGCCCGCCTCGCCCACGGAGGCGGAGCAGCCGTCTTCGTTGCCCCAAACGCCGCCACCCCTCAGCGGCCCGCAAGTGCCAGAGGACCTCGGGAAAACAGAGCCTGCCCAGGTATATTTAAATAAGTACCCAACTCGCCTGTACAGTGTGGGGTAAGGCGCTCATTTTTGCAGCTCATGGTTTCAAAACAGAGATGGAATATTCATGTAAAAAATATGCCATCTTCTGATATGCATGTAGACATTTTGGTTCAAGCATGGGCATCACAGCCATTATATGAGGGTGGGACAAGTCTCCCCCACTTTTTGAAATGATTAGTTCAGACCCCCCCACTTTCCCCACTGTGGAAAGTCCGTGAATCGGTCTATCCACTCGCCGCACTTTGTAGAGCGCTGTGTCAGTGCTTCACTATCAAATCCATTCCACTTGCTTATTGAGAGAATGCCCAAATCAATGAAACTCCGTACCATGTTTTCACTGCTACTTTGTACCAAGGCAGATTCTCACATAGCGCACGCATGTTCAAGGAGTGTTGCCATCAGCGACTTGCAGTCAGGGGAGGCAGAGCCCCCTGTCATACTCCAATGTAACGGTAAAACAACTAAAGAAAAACTAAATAGTAATAATAATAAAATGTCTCCACTGATCTGTTTTGTAAATGTGATTTATGTATGATTCCAATCGCTTTTTATAGTCAAAATCAGCCGAGCTCCGCTACAACTACGGGTAGCGATGAGAAGTGAGGCAGGGACGAGCTCTGCCTCTCGTAAGCCCACAGTAACTGGCTGGAGCGCGGGCACTAATGTAGCGCGACACTTATTTTGTGAGCGCGCTCAAGCCAGTTACTGTGGGGTGAGGTGAGGCACAGATGAGCTCTGCCTCACCTCAGAATGCGTCACCCCACAGAAACTGGCTGGAAAGCGGGCCCTAAGCGCATGCCTGCACCATCTCACTGTATGTCACCAATGTAATGTTTGTAGATCCCTTTATTACATTTATCCTCGCCATCCATAGTCTCTAAATAACTTATTTCACGTATATATGATATTTAGGCCCGCTGGTCACATCATACAACGGCAATGAAAAAAGCACCAGGAGAGGCAGCCATAACCTCTGCCGCACTGAAGGGGGTGAACGTGAGCCCACAGGTTCTTGTTGCTACTGTTATTCTACGCAGGGACGGTAGACGGAAACAACAAGCTAGACTTTTGAAACTACATGAAGATAAGGAGGACTTTTACAAAAATGTAATGGAGATGTTTGTCCAGAAGGATAGCATGGACTTCATCTTCAAGTCAAGGTAAGACCACAATTGTAATGAAAATGGGATCTTACTAAGAAAGAACAATCCAATATTTAGATTGTGGGTATCCTTTTGTTGAACGGTCTGTTTAAAATGAATCGAAGCATCAGACTAAAAAAGCTTTTGAAAATAACCAAACATTTCGATTAAGGTCAAAATATAATATTTGTAAATCTGACTCTGAAAGAGTCAGTGCCTCACCAGCCATGAACCTCACCGCACGTCACTGGTTGCCATAGTTGGACAGCTCAGATCTGTTGAAGCGATGCCGGTAGCGGAGGTAAGGTGCACACACCAAATGTTCAGGAAATGGTTAATACAGCGAAAATCAAAGCTGACGATCTTTTGGTTTGATATGTTTTATCCCCCAGACAACATGGACATACGAACAAAAATGTCAAAGAAGAGGAAAGTAAGTCTTCAGCTGGTAGCAGTTAATCAGTTAACAGTGATGGTGGCGTCTCACTTCTGGAGAGGAGTTTCGTCTTTATGTCATGATAGAGAGATACAAATACTGAATAGTTTAGATGAGAAAAGGCATCGAAATGCCAGGTTACTAGTGTAAGCATTGGGTTGAGAGGTCATGTGTTGTGAGCATGCGCAGTCTGTCCTGGTGTGGTGTGACTGTACAATAATAAACCGAGGCGCTATCTGGGACGCTCCAAAAAGTACTAAGTTCCTGAGTTTTTGTTACACAGAAGTATCATTGAAGCCTTAACACCTCGGACGTTACACTAGTATTTATCATGTAAACAGGGAACATGAATAACCCAATCTCTCTGTGCTCATGTAAACACCATGATGTCCATGTAGAGACGCAGTCAGTGTGTTTTACTGGAGCCTCAGTTCGATAAGAGATTATTTTCTGAGTTCATTAACTTCGGTACTCTCTCTCAAAATGGTAATGTGCATCATGTTTTAATTATACTTCTTATCATTCAGAAGCTTGTTGTGTGTGTTTATGTTTTACTGAGTGCTTATAGGCAATTTCCATCCCAGTATTCAGTTTACTATTTATTTTCTGTACACATTACATAGACTAGCTAATATTCTACCTACTGCTTGGGACTTTGAGTCTTCAAAATGTCCAATGTCACAGACTGGGACTTACTTTAGAGACAGTTGTATTTACATTCAGTATGACTTGTTATGATTCAATGTGAAAGAGTATACTGCTCAATAAATAATGATCACTTCACCACCTCTCTTGACATCTAGGCGCTTGAGAGTGAGGCAGAACACAGGGACAGTGGAGAGAGGTCCGTTGCTGAGGTGAGTGATGAAAGGGAAATGACAGTTTAGAGTAAATTGTGATGTGGACTCTCATCCCAGAATGTTAAGGAAGTCAGTGGGGATATTGAACATGAAGCATTTCAGTCAAGGGGCATCATGTGACCAATATAGACAGAAGAGCAACATTTAAGTCAATGATACCATTCCTAGGTGAACTTAACATCTGTATGGAGTCAGATCAGTTTTAATATTAATAAATGCTCACAGAAGGATTCACAAATGTATTTTGCGATTTATATATAAATGACTCTCCACAACAATATCTCTCAATGCACTCACACATATTTAATGTTGTATATAAATGTACAAAAAATGGGCATTTAAACTGCTTTTTATTAATTCAAAGACGGCTCTGAATTAATAATCAAATATGTTTCCTTTCTTTACTACTGGATGAAATTACAAAATGTACCCATCATTTCCCTCATGCTAGTATAGCCACATAAAAGTATCAAACCACCTATTAAAATGCACCAGAATACAGGAAATCTATTTTTTTTCGTGGTGGGGGACCCCCACATCCCCCGTTAAAAATGTCCCCCCCACATTCAGGATGCTTCCTACGCCCATGGGTTCAAGTAAGTCAGATGCCTTCACCACAACTGGCTACTACAAATGGCGCCATGCTCTTATAGGCTACGTGATAAGGGACTGGGAAGGCATGAATCAAGCAAAGAACACATAGATCTCTTAATGTTGCTCTCAAAGTGCACCAGATTGATGCTTTTAACTTCAATATTTAAAAAAAAATCTTCCCGGGGGAGTATGACCCCCCTAGAGGAGGTGAGGACCCCCCTAGAGGGTGTTAGGTCCACTCAACACTTGTAAAAATAGCACTTTACCACTGCACCCTCTCAAATCACAGATGCACCCTGAGTCATTTTGTTCTGGAACCGGGGCTAAAGCCCCGGATGTGTTTTCTTTAGCCCCGGACAAATTCTCCCTCAATAATATAATACATTAACCGTACCTTACCTAGAAGACTGCAGAATTGTAATTTCCCGTGTTCGGTGAATGCAACAGAGGCAAGACACCACCAGACCAATCAGAGAGTTGCATGGAAATAAATGTGTTTTATTGGCTGACAGGTACGTACCTCTCCTCTGTGACAGTGTTTAAACTTTAAACCAGGCATCCTCAAAGTCCGTACTCCGGTCCGGATCCCGACCGAACCACTACTGTCTCTGGACTCTGAGCAAATTATACTTTTCATATGTATTATCTGTATTATCTGTGTTATCTGCGAGACATCGCCACAACGCAACGAGTCAAAATTATCCGCTATGTCCATAGACTGCAAACAGCGCTCTACATGTCCTGTTCCACTGTCTGTGTGTGTCTGTCAACACATTGGTCCAATCACATTCAGCATCCCGTCAGCGTTTTTTCCCCCCAAACAGTCTGCGAATCAGAGGCACAGTAGGGCGGGTCTTCGCGGAATGCCGGTGGGAAAAATGCCTGTGTCGTCTCTTTCAACCTGTCTGAGTCAGAGCGAGAGTTTAAAAAATAAAAAGTCAGAGCGAGAGTTAACAGCTCATCTAGTTGCATCTGTACAGCTAGTAGCCTCAAGTTTCAACCACTGGGGTGGCATAGGGTGGCAACTGCCACCCTAAAAATAGGCCTTGCCACCCAAGCTGCCACCCCAGTTGGCAGCTTTGTTTTGAAAGAAAAGTTGTGGCTCATCGGACATTTATGAGAGAAAGTCTCTAATGTCCGAGTGCAAGTGAATGCAGCACAAGACCAGTGGCGGCGCCAGAGATTTTCTCTAGGGGGTGCTGTGGGGTAGCTTGACGTTTCATAGAGGGTGCTCAAACATTAAGGGTTTCCCATTGATGCACCAGCGCTACAGTTGCATTTTCTACTGCAACACTCCCCACACGCACACACAGTGTACCCGCGACTGTTACAATGAAGGCTCGATAATCAGCTCACGGCATATAGGTGTAAGCAGGGGTAAAGTGCTATTTTTACAAGTGGACCTCACCTCCTCTAGGGGGGTCCTCACCTCCTCTAGTGGGGTCCGGGGGCATGTTTCCCCCGGGAAGATTTTTTTAAATATTGAAGTTAAAAGCATCAATCTGGTGCACTTTGAGAGCAACATTAAGAGATCTATGGATACATCTCAACACCCATATGACACAGAACTGTAAACAGATGTTCTATTTCTTTATAGATATTTTTTAAATCACACACCCTTTTAAAACAAACCGTTTGAGACCCACTGAGATAACTAGACTAAAGTTAACTATCTAAACACTGAGAGCCCTTTACTTCACCTGAGGTTATCTGAGACTATCCGTATGGGAGGAGAGAGTTCTCCCTCCACCTTGTTGTTGAAAAAGCTCCTTATATCGTTAGCTCTATCTCCGGTAGAGGCGAGCTCTCGCTCGCGCACGCACACAAAATGGCTCGTGCCACACACACACACACACACACACACACACACACACACACACACACACACACACACACACACACACACACACACACACACACACACAGAGAGAGCAGAGCTTGAATGAAACACAGAGACCAGAGAAGCTACTTGAAGGCTACTCACGACGCTATTATGTGCAGAATCCCTCTCGCTTTCAGGTGGTTTTGATTGAGTGTCCACACGTGGACGTTTAAGGACTAAAAAACTATCCATCTTTCACTTTGCTGTTAGCAAATAATGTGGTGCTCTAGCTAACAGGAAGTCACTCAAGTGTCAAAGTAATTTAGCCTATGGGTAGGTCAAAAATCGAATGGGTGCTGGCCATTGGCCTAATCATATCACCTGTGTTGGCTTTATGTTTTTGGTCAAAAATGTGTTTGTTTCACATTTGCATTGATGTAATCAATAATGTTTCTAATTTAATAAAAATAATAATAATAATAATTTTCGGGGGGAAAAAAAAAAAAAACATATTTATTGGGGGTGCTTAGGGGGTGCTTTGGCAATCCTGGGGGGTGCTTCAGCACCCCCTAGCTCCCCCCTGGCGCCGCCCCTGCACAAGACGCACGTCTTGTAACCTCTGCCCTGGCGCGAGCGTGGAAATATGATTGGCGGCGATTTCATTTGAACGGGACGGTGCAAATCGAGAAGCATTCTGACCCTCAAGCACTGAAGGGCTGAGGTATTTGCGGTCTACAATGACAGAGAAGAGACTGTCAGTTTGGCTGTACTCAGCATTGAATCAAAACGCACTAAAGCTGTTGATCTTAATACGTTTGTGAGGCGTTTTGCTGAACAGAATGATAATCGCCGCATTCAGCTGTAATAGACATGACAACTTGATGCTCTGCTCACGGATGCGCATACAAAACTGTTAAGATGATGACCTTACGTGTGTAAATATATTATTTTCTTTGAGGGGGTCTGCCCCATAAAACAGTTTTATGTCCTGAGAAAGTCAAATAAGATGGTGTGTAAAACTTCACTGCCCAGCCAAAAAAAAGTAACCACTTTGATTGAACTAGGCCATTAGGTAAGGACTTTCCACTGGATAATAACTGAAGTATAAAAGAATGCATGACTGAAGTGATGGAGACCATGTTGAAGGCAAACAAAAAGAGGAAATAACAGGTAAATCAAGCAAATCCCCCTCTCAGATTCCACAGCAACCAGAAGAACATAAATACTGGCTGGTGATTTGATTCATCAGCTTTGTGATGGAATAAAAAATGCACAGTGCATTTCCTTAGCTGTGGTGGTGAGTCCACTGACACCACTGACAATGCTCAGTTGCTGGTGTTTGTGAGTTTTATGATGAGGCAAAGGGGGAGTTTGTTGAAGATGTGTTGGGCCTGACGAACCTCAGTGGACACACAAGGGGGCAAGACATTTATAAAGCAATAATGGGAATGCTGAATGAAAGAGGGTGCAGCTGCCTTTATTCATAACTGTGCAGCTCTTACACTGCGACTCTGAGGGGTCAAGCACAGACACAATAACAATGAAAACTGCTGCATACAGATTATTTTAGTTTTTGCAACCTCGTGTTAAGAATCTTGTTGCAATTATTTAAAAGTTTGAATGACCCTTATAAACGGACCTTTGTGATACAGATATGGGCATCTGTTAATGCCTGTTATGCGTTTCAAATCACTTTGCAAAATTATGTCAGGCCAGCAGCAGAGCAGAGAAAACAAGAAAAGTTAATGTTGTTGACGATGTCCAGCAAACTGAAGGGGACTCAGATACAAGTGAAAACCTATACAATGTCACTGAATATGTGGGGAATGTGAAAGCACCTGGACGCAAATGGTTTGTGCACCTACACCTGAATAAGAAAAGACAGCTATGCCAGCTAGATACAGGGGGCACTTGCAATGTTATGGGCCGCCAGTTTAAAGAGAAACTGTCACCAAAGAAAGCCTTACAGCCGACCAGAACAAGGCTAAAGCTGTACTCTGACACATACATACATTTCACACTGACTGTGTGGTCAGGGGGAAAATACAGATTTGTGTTCGAGATAGTGAACACCAAACAAAAGCCCCTGCTAGGTGGTGCTGCATGCACTGATCTGGGCCTTGTGAAATTCACTATTCCAAGAGAACTACTGCCAGCGGAGGTGAACACTATTGATGCAAGCCAGTCTATGCCACTCACAAAAGAAATGCTACTGAAAGACTTTCATGATGTTTTCCATGACCCGATCGAGTCAGTCCCAGGTAATATTCATTTCGATCCGAACCCTGAAGTGACACCAGCCCAGTGCTCACCACGAAATGTCCCTGTAGCGCTAAAAGCCCGGGTTAAGGAAGAGCTGGACAAACATGTGAAAGCAGGCAACCTTACACCAGTGACTGAGCCAACAGCGTGGATAAGCAACATGGGGACAGTAGCTAAACCGGACAAGATAAGAATCTGCATTGACCCAAAGCCTCTCAACCAGGCACTTCTCAGGTCCCATTACCACATGCCAACGCTAGAAGACGTCTTGTACAAACTGCCCAAGGCTCGTGTCTTCACACTGGTTGATGCTCGTGACGCCTTTCTCCAGTGCAAGCTTGATGAGGAAAGCAGCCGCTTGAGGACATTCTGGACCCCATGGGGTCGGATGAGATGGCTCAAACTCCCGTTTGGAGTCTCAGTGGCGCCAGAGATCTATCAGCGCAAGCAACATGAGCTGCTATCAGGCCAGGCTGGCATTGAGCCTATTGCGGATGACATCCTGGTGGTCGGGTGTGGCGATACGGACGCAGAGGCTGAAGAGGACCACAACACCAACTTAAGAGCTCTCATGCAACGGTGCAGGGCTGTGAAGCTCAGATTGAGTGAAGGCAAGCTGCAGTTCAAGCTCAAAGCTGTACATTTCCACGGCCATGTACTGTCTACAGAAGGACTGAAAATCGACCCAGAGAAAACTCAAGCAGTGTTGGACATGCCGACGCCCACGGATGCTAAGGCAGTGCAACGCATGATCGGGTTTGTGACATATCTGGCTAAGTTCCTGCCAAGGCTACCGGAGATCTGTGAGCCTCTTCGCAGACTCCTGGATAAGGACACGGCATGGCACTGGCTGCCAAAACACGATGATGCAATACGCGAGATAAAGAACATTCCCTTTTGGGTCTAGGGGATCCAAAGGGAAGAAAACACAACCAGAATAGAATTGGTATGAGTTATAAGTGGTTTTATTATAACTATTCGTGGTGAAACAAAATAATAAGGCAAGCTTGGCACAAACAAAGGGCCAATTGCTAGTTGAAAACAACCAAAATAAAGAGACTCCAAAAGAGAGTTTAACAGATTAGATACGGTAATAATCAGTACAAAAGAGAAACAAAAACCTCACTAAAACGTGGTACCTGAACTGAAAAAGACTGTAACAAAACACAGCTGATGCTAATCCACAGGCGCTAACCGCTAAGCTAACCTGGATACTAACTCACACAACACTGTTTTACACGCTGCTACGCAGTATAACAAAACACAGAGCTTTCAATGGATCAACGGGCATAACGAGTTGGGGCAACCACACAGCTCATTTACATAATCACACACACAGCTGCAGACAATCCCAGACAGGTTACAGAGCAGGCAGAAACAGCAGCCGTAACATGGATGGTCACCAACATGCCGGTTCTCAAATATTATGACTTCACAATAAAGCCTGTAACGATCCAGAGTGATGCCAGCATGAATGGACTGGGGTG